AGAAGAGTTTTGTTAACTAAACCTTGAGGACAACAATAAGCCTGTTTTATCGAACGGCTTTTCGTGGCGCACCTCCAAGCCAGCAGCAGGATAATACCACTTCTTCGCCGACTGAAGTTGCCTTTTGTCACAGTCAAATACAAGTATGTAGTGTAAGAAAGTGAAGGTGAAAAATGCTGCTATTTGTGGGCGTACATAAAACTGGAACCACGGCATCATGGAAGTTATTGGAAAACGACAAACTTTTACAACTGATGGTGAGAAAGTATTTCCGATATTATGTCATCCAGGGAAAATTTGAACCGACGATTTGATCGTAAGCAGTGTGAAAAATCTGCCCAAGACGTTAAAGCGTTAAAAATACACATTATCTACCAATTTAAAATTTTTCGGAGCATTGGTTTGCAACGATAAATTTATCTCGTTACACAGGGGATTAAAAACACACACAGAACACAAGATTAATGTGTACGGCTCAAAAAAAATTAAAATATCAACCAGAGCAAAGAAACCTTCGTTTTCGGAAAGTATGTTGCTGCTTTGGTGAATTCCTTGGTATAATTGTTCCGGTGGTTTTTCCGGTCCCTTGTTGAACGACTTCGGTCTCTCCAAATGCGACTCATAAGGGGAATTGGAAAAAGTATTCAACATTTCCCGGCTTTGCATATCATCTGTCAATAAACGTTGAAAAAAACTTCTTCTGGGACAAATAAACGAGTTATTTATTGTGAAAAATCAGCAAAAATGATGATGTGCCAAATCAGCAAAAACCGCGTATAGTAAAAGATGTGAATGTAAGCACAAGCATAGAAATAAAAACAAAAAAATGTCCGGACAAGTCCTTTGGTACTGAGTCAGGCAAGAAAACTTGAATTAAGTACAAAAGAAATTAGCGATAGTCAGTTGTTTTCTAACATTCCACATCATGCATTTGACGTCATAAAAGCTGAAAATCACAAATTGGGTGGGTGAATCTAGACTGACCCATCTTCCAGTTCTTCCACACTGGTTCTGTTTAAGCAGCAATCTCGTTCATCGTATGAAAAAACCGCAAAGACAATGGTACTTACAGAGAACAAAAGAAACAGTGTGGCACTGCCCCGCCACAAGTGCATTCAGCAGAGCAAATTGTGTGGTTTTCGAAACACACAAATACATATATGTATGTAAAAATGAATTTCGTGATACTCTTATCATTGTATTTCTTGTAAAAATTTCACTAGCAGTAAGGCGACGCTTCAAGGCACACGTTACGGGTCATTTTCTTTCGAAGGCTGGCGTGACTTTCGACCAACAGCTTTGGGTATTGCGCTGCTTAGGTTATCATATTGTTTTCCTATTTCAAGTTTACACTGGTCCTTACTAAGCTTTGACGGACAGTCTTTCGCTGTGATACTGCACGCGAAACAACTTGAAGAAAGTGGAATGCCGACAAACACACATATTTTCTCGACATCTGAGCTGATATACTGTACTTTACTCAGCAACCTGTTTATTCATGTCGGACCACGACAAAGTCCTAATGAGCGGGGACATGAATTGGCCGTTATGCCTTTGATTGCCCTTTTTAGAGTTGATAGAAGTTTACACTGGTCTGACAACGTATACCTTGCTCGTTCAATAGCAGCAATGCTCCCGTTCAAAAACACCAATAAACGGACATTGCTGTGACTCGTTTGGGACTAACTGGAGAGCACGTTGGAGGACCGAAAGGTACGCTTCTTCCTCGTCAAGTTTACTAATAGTCAGGACTGAAACGTTGAGCAAGAAAATGAACGACTTCAGGGAAAAGAATCCATGCCCACAAAGTTTTCTCGTTCATCATACATGAATTTCAAGCTGGTCACAGAAGGAAATAGGGGACAAATACTAAACAGAGGCTGATTTTGTCAAAAACAAGATCAGTCACGTGCGAATTCCGAATAAACAGTATAGTCGATCCATGGTGAAGTGCTCGACTAAGATGCTAAAGAAAAAGATTCAAGGGAAGAAAAATATGAGAAGAAGGGGAACAATAATGAAAATCATCAGAAAAATCATCCACCATCAAAATCTTCATCAACATCCGAACCACAATATCATCCACATCATAAGCAAATTTATAAATCCAGTGACGGAAGGGTGCTATATCATGTAGTACCAATGTTCAACAAACCTTTGAGAGCCAGCCCGGATAGCCTTGCGGTTAACGTGTTCGATTCACAATCGTTCACCCCGGGTTCGAGTCTCCGTGGAGGCTCGGTGGATGTGCACTGCTGATGATTCCCAACAAGGATGAAACAGCTGTGCAGTGCTTCCATGGTTTTCAATGGTGAGTTGAGCGTTGGAGCTGCATGATGAATCATGTTACACAAATCTAATCTCCTACTACTCAACTGCAAATTTATAATCATCAACACCATCATCTTCATCATCATCGTCATCATTGTCATCATCGTCATCATCATTGTGATCATCATCATCGAGATCATGACCACGATCATGATATATATATATATATATGTATATATATATATATATATATATATATATATATATATATATATATAACAAGGTCTTGAGAAAGGTTATCTACGGTAACCGTCACATCCGTTTCTGACTTCTCACCGACAACGGCGTGTTACTGACATTATATTTTTTCCTTTAAAACTTTGGCGAGTTTCTTCATACAGAGCTTCCAATACACGAAAAAATAAACAACATGGAATCCATCTGCAACCTGTTAGAAAATAACACATACGATTACATATCACAATAATAACGCATGGAGTATTACTCAGGAGATAGGACGAGGTTTCTCGGAAGCAAATAACGTTTCTTGCTTATCATCTTTTAGAAGTTACATGGAACCGGTAAGCCTAGCCCTGATCAGCACCATGCATTCATCCTTAAATTAAGTAAGCCTGTAAAGAGACGCGCTGACCGGAAATTCTGAGACTAAACCACAAAAATATGGCGAAACAAGGCAGTGAATCCACATCGGGCTTAGGTAATAAGAAGAAAATTAGGAATTTACCTGGAGCAGCATATGAAGAAGTAGAAATAAAACATTTGGACACCATGAAGAAGATGAACACAACAACGATGATGACGATGCTGATGATGATGCTGATGATCATGAACACGATGAATATGATAACAATAATAATAATATTAATAACAATAATAATAATAATAACAATAATGAGCTTTCGAAAAGGACGACCAAGACGATGATCCTCACTCAACGATGATTGCATCTTCTGTTCTTGAAGGCCAGGCTTCTGACTCACAATAATGGATTACCATAGTGTAAATTCAACCCCTTATGAGTACACAAATATCTCACAGCAAAAGCGGAGAAGATGAGGTGTTTTCACTAAAATGCCGCCTTATTATTGATATCTGCAGACTCATAAGTAAGCATTATGATGGTGGTTTCCTGAACTTGTGGGGGGAAAGTCGGTGCACAGGAAACACCACTCCTACAAGCATACAACGTGCACTCTTTGACCATGGTTTTCTGTCCAACTGATCAAACTATCATCTCGCTGTTTCGTTCACGCGTGAGATAATAATGGTCAAGCTGATTAACCACCTCATGAAACCGTTGCATTTGTTGTTATAGACGTGACAAGTGATCCCTGTATAACTCCTAGGTCAAAACCTCCATCGAAACTCCCCCATTCCATTTTCTCCAAACCAGTCCGTCCATTTTCTTCCGCTGCACATTTCACGCGAACTTCATCTGGCCACAACGTTACGGGGACAGTTTGTTTTCATCTACACACATCCTCGACCACTGTTATCTACAGCTACATATTTAGTATCAGCCACCAGCTTTATAGACGTAGAGGCTTAGGGTAACATTTCGATTTTTTTTCTTCAGGAAATGAGGGATATATTCTATATTACAAGCCAACTGAATTTTCATGGTTCCCGCAACAGAGGTTTTAGACGGAGACTCAATGAACCGACGCTGAATCCTCGTATCTCACGGGCAGGGACTGTCGTAGTTACTTTTGATTTGCGAAGCCATCATATTCTACTCTCAGTCCAAGTATTCCTTATCCAGCCCAGGATCATTTCGACTTTACATTAGTTGTAGAAGTTTACTGACGTTTTCACCTATTCAAAATCCATCAAATAAATAACTCCAATGAGATAAAAGTAAAAAGCTTTCATTTCATCAATTTGTTCCACAAGCTGCTGCGTTTTCAAGACATTCAAAAAGGCGAATGTTTAAGTTGGGCTATGTCAGCGTGTTCCGATATGCAGGCTGGTAAGGCTCAATGGCAGCCAAGAGGCTACATGACTACCTGGAGTAAAGGATTTACATGGTGATCTAGGCTATCTGAGATCAACAAAGGGTCTACCTGTTTTGACTGATTTTTATTCGTCGTTGTACGTTATACCACTGAAATAACATTCAGTCACTAGACACCGCAAGAAATCTACACAGCGTTAGCACTCACGTAATGCAGCAATTCACTTTTGTGATCAGTAGTCGATTTGCTTGGTCAATAAGCCAGCCAGTAAGTCAGTCGATAAGTCAGTTAGTCAGCTGTCACTCAGTCAGTTAGTTAGTCGGTCAGTCAGCGAGGCACTTGGTCAGCCAGCCTACCAGTCAGTTATTTCATCAATCAGTTACTCAACCACTCACCTTCTCACTAGTCTAGTCAACTGTTCAGTCAATAGGCTATTCTGTGAAACAGTCGGTTTAAAACAATTCAGTTGTGACAAGCGTGGTTTGTTCCCAAGTTCAGATTAAGTATAATTGAGAAGATTAAATATACGAGACCTATTGTGCCAGCATACACTTGTGAAAAGTACGATCCACTCTCTCAGGCCTATGATTTATTGTTTGACCTAAAATCTATATTATTAAGATCACATCAGCCTTTCTCGATCATTAGGTCACGTGTTTTGTCATCATAGTCTCGTAAAAGCACCAGAGAACGAGCAAAGCATAAAAAGTGATCAGTTTTGTGGAACTTGTTTAGTAAGGTGAGATACGCAGGATGAGCAAAACGTCTGCACGAGACATTGAAAAACACTGGGAAAAAACAGTTCGTGACTTTGGGAAGGAATGTTTGATGGAACATAATCGGTAAGCTGCTCCGATTTTCCCTTCTGGTTATTGCAGAACCACAGACTGAAAAGGAATGACTGACATGTCGTTTTACTTCCACTGCTAAGCGGACAGCCAACTTTTATCGAAATTGTGAATTTATCTGGCTAAATAATTTCATATTTTGGTTTTTAGACATTGTTTTAAATAATTTATCGGTAAAGATGGATCAGTTTTATGAAATTTACCAAGAATTTTAATAACGAATAACTTGAGCAGTGTACGTTCTAGAGAAAAGGGCCGGTTGTAGCAAATGTAAGTAAACCTGGTTTATTGAGTGATAAGTATGATAATCGTATAAGAGACGTGAGTAGCTGAATGCACAAGAGGTTTTTACGTACGTAGCCATCCATGTCAGGTATCACGAAAATTGTCTCAAACTTTGGTAATAAAAACTTCATTACTTTTACAGTGGGAAGATCCGTTTGCCCTCAGAATGAAATGGTTCTTCACAACTGCAGCGGGATGCCTTAATTCAATGAAAAAATCTATTCTACTTGGTAGTGACAACGTAAAAGGGGCTTTTGTGAGACCCCAGGTGACAGAATGTGGGAATATTCCAGCGAAATCCTGGAATAATTATTGAGCACTTGTTTTCTTTGAATGTAAGCTACTTCTTTGCACCGGAGAGATATCATGTGCACAGAGTTGTAGTTTTCAGTGAAGAAAATTGTTTTCAAAGGTACTATCCTTGAAAGTCATTCAAAATTGCCTTTTCTCCTCTATTTGCTTGTAGTCTTTATTTTTGAATACCTCCGTTTCCATGCGTTTACCAGTAACTCGTGCAATATAGTGGGTTCTCGAAGTTTCTCTTTTAATCCGTGTCATGTTTATTCATGTAATAGTTAAAATAAACGAGGTGTATTGTACGGAAGCCATGACCATTCGGTGCGATCAAAATGAACAAGAAGTGCACTTTTGGCTTTTCAACTATTGACTGAGTAAAGGAGAAAGGTTAAAATGTATCCAAGTTTACGGTGATGCGTAGATGGATACTATTCAGGGAGATAATTTCTTATTCACCAGAAAATTTTCTTCTCAAAGTCAACTTCAATTTCATCCTACCCAGTTTTACTCACCCAGAGCAATGCACCCACTGATCACACTTTCCTAGCACCTGTAGGAACCTCTTGGTAGCTGGTAAGAGGCTTTTTGTAAGCAAATGGAACTGTATCCGTTTAAGATAATATCGTGCCACCTAAACTGACGAACTTCTTAAATTTCTCTCGATTTCGTGACAAAAAATGTATTGTAGGGAATGTAGTGTGTTGACGGTTATGATTCTTTGCCTCAGCTTTATAATGAAGCTTCCTTCGAATTTTAGTCTAAGACCAGGTCACAACCTGGTTTTCTTTTGCCTTTTTATTTGCTTCAAATTTCATTATGTAATAATGGTGCAATATATTGGAAAGAAAGCCGCGGTCAGTTGGAGGCTGCCAGTTGGGCAAGGTGACGGGCGGCCAAAGCAGGACTTGAACTCATGTCAGAAGGGCATAAGTCCCGAATGACGACCGCTTGACAAACTGCCGGTCTTTGGTCCCACGTTCGTTGATGTGACCCCAAAAGGATTGGTCAACAAACCCTATGTAGAATACGTATACGTCAGGTTTAGTAAAAATAAAGGAAATCTACCGAAATCGAGTTGGTGATGTTCGAGTCACGAATATTCTTGTCAAGCCCATATGGTTCGCCGTTAGAAAAATCCCTCTCTAAGCAGTTAAATTAAAGGTTTAAGGTGACATGTTATACGCGAACATGATCTACGTGGCTAAGCATGCCGATCCTTCCGTTGCGGCTTCGTATCTCAACTGGTGCAGCACACGCTGTGCGGAAGCGTGGGTGGCATACATGAGGAAAGTATGCACTTGGATTCAAATTCTGACGGGGCTAAATCGGTCTTAACATTGGGACCAATTCAAAAAAATCAATATAAACTCTTAGTTTTTACTCCAGAATACATTTTAACTGAATAAAGTCTTTTCCCTATTTAACATTTATTCCCTGCTTTTCAAGTTAAAGGTCATTGATCTCAAAACATTCGGGACGTTTCGGACTGAAATGGTTTCCTTTTAGGACTTAGCAAGCAAGAGAAAAATGTTTTCAGGCTTTTTGCACATTTCGGCCTGTTGTTGAAAACATGGTTCTCACCGCTGTTCGTGTTTGCAATTTCTAATAGCACTTGCACTGGTAAATTCTAGTCCCCTACTGTGGTCAGGACGTCAATAACCTCAACTTCTAGTATCCTGCGAAAAGTGCCACCGTATGATATCGGATAATTATGCAATTGGGTAAGGGTTATATCAGTTCAGTAGATTAGATGCAAAAGTACTCCTCAAACAGGTCAGATAGCTATGCTCTGCAGATTGTTTGAGTTGCATTTGTTTATCATTTAAACTTCTGCTTAAAAGTTGCTAATCAAAAGATTTGATCCCTGTGATGCCGACGTTCAGTGAAACAGTGTAGTTTTTCAATGAGGTTTAGAGCGTAGAACAACATCGGACACAGTGAGCTAAAGGACCAAATGTTCAACCGTCAGCAAGGGAACAATCAAAATTGTGTTTCCCCTCTGGCGGAATGCAATGATCGCTAGAGCTAGCGGACAAACAACGAAAGTAACCCTGTGGGATTGGAGAACCTACGGAAGGCTTAGAGCTGAGTTAAAATATGTTCTGTTTATTTTGTCATATTTAAATTTTTGAATCCATAGAAGCAAACTCACTCATCTCCAAGTTGCTTCAGATATGCCATGGGACTAATAATTCACAATATATCCGAGTGGAACTGACCTACCTTACACATTTCATTTTCAGTTCAGCAGATGATATTGTAATGGGGTGTTTGGACCGCACAGCAAGTTTCACGCGCAAACCTCAGGTCATCCGGCCAACCTGCACTCGGAAGCACCAGACTCGAGTTTCGCTCTTGTTAGAGCTAATCAGTGGTGCATATCCTCCTCCACACCCAAGGTTTGAACCCGGGCCCTTCCATCTCGAAGGTGTGTGTGTTACCACTGAGCTACCCCGCTCCCGTCCGAGCTGATCCGAATCACCAAGTTAAGCTTGTTCAGATGTCATCCTCTATGACAGCCAGAAATGCCCGACAGCTTCGAATGAAGACAAGGTACCTGACCAGTTAACTCCAAGCGAAACTCGAGTCTGGTGCTTTCGAGTGCAGGTTGGTCGGAAGACCTGAGGTTTTCGCGCGTGAAACGTGGGGTTCAAAGAACAGTCAACCAAACAAAGATCCATCAATCCCACACACTACTCGCAAGCAATTGCGTGATATATGTATAGCAAGTATTGACTTTCACGTCATACAGAAATACCTCAGTCCGGAAGTTCGATCAACTTGAATTTTGTCTCCCTTCTATCTCATCATTCTCGAATATTTATTTCGTGCACGAAAAATATCGACTTGCATTCAGTTGAATCTACTGAAGCGCACATAAGCCTATACGGTACTTTCAAGCTCCAGACACGATGTCAATGCTATTGCAGTGGAGGTAGTACTGTTCATTAATCCACGAAAAGTACCTGAGCGATAGGTAGCCAATTGGGAACTCGTTCGAAAGTCAACAGAATAAACCAATAATTACAAACATGCTACTTTGCAAGTCGCTGTCCTGTACACTTGAAGACAGTCACCATCCTTCGGAGGAGCAGTCATGTGGTTTGCCTGTTGTTGTTTACTTTAGTACAATTAGTCTCTTGGGTATTGTGACGTTGGAAATCCACAACTGTCCATAGTTCCGCTGTAAGCAATCGACTTCTTGCTAAGTAGTATATACACTCGCTACAGTTCGTGTTCAAAATGCAACCACTCATGAACCAAGGTTCAGTGAGTTCATCAACAGGCGCCTACATTTAGATCTAACAAACACCAAGATGATAACTTACGTTCTGTCAGGTACAAGCTTAAAAGTCTGAACTTTCACTTATCTGATAGAGGCCTCCTCCGTCACGTAACTGGGACTTTTCCACGGTAAAACCCGGCAAATTTTGTGCGGTTACTGTTCATGTACACCCGATTTACATTGCGTGGCAAAAGTACAGGACCCTCCTCATTTGTCCGAATATTCCTGGCTCAGCATTCTCTAAGGAAACCATATCTAGTCAGAACAACCAAATGTATAATAGCATAAGGCATGCCAAGTCTCAGAAGCGATATATGTATTGTGTGCCAATAAAAGCAGAAAACCTAGAAACCGAGGGTGACAAAAGTATAGGGCCCTCTATTCCGGCGCGCTATCCCATACGAAATTTCGCAGAACCAGACGGACCACTGAGCCTGATATCAAGCTGATTAGTTCGGTCTGTGTAACTGATGTCTGACAAATTCATGAGAACCGGAATCTCGTGATTCATGTAAAGTGATGAATGTGATGCATTCTAATGCCCTACGTGACCTTCGGTTGCATTGGTTTCACAGATATTCCTTGCGGAACTCACACCGAATTATGTCTGCACAAGGCCACTCGGGAATAAACTAACAGGTTTCAGGAAGGTTGATATATCAGCATTCTCTCAAGTGGGAATCAGTTTGTATATGATCTTTAGGCAAGGCGAAAGATCGAGGCAAGTCATACGATGACATCCGGAACTTAACGAACGATGTACACCTGAGAGGTGGACGGATCTTTCTAAGAGCTAAATAAATCGGAAGAACACAGACCGGTTCGTCTAGCCTCCAATAGCACATGATCAACGCCAAAGTTGGCAGTCTTGATCGGAGCCAGTATTTCGAAAGGAACGTTACAAAGAACGCTCTTAGTTGTACCACGGATGAAATAGGAAAAAAAATTAAAAATGATTGTTCCCACTCCGCTGCCTAAAGCAAAACTATTATACGGACTGAAACCCACGCAACATGGAGAAGCAAGGGAAAAAAAGCCTAATCCATTTGAAGTAAAAAGATTGGAATCTTCATTGGCACGATATCGGGAAATATGTATCTCCAGCCGGAGAAACAAAAAAAAAACA